CCCGGGTTCCCAGGGGTGGGGGGGGGCAAGAAATCACGTCTCCCTCCCCATCTCAGAAGCCCTCTGGCGACCGCAGGTGGACCTTGGTGCGGACTTGCATTTCTGAAGCCACTGTTCTTCGTACAAAAGGAAACCAGAAGGAGCCCCGACGACGCAGGGCTCGCCCGTCCCCTCCGCCCTCCTCTGCCTTCTCTACAGTCCTCTTGGTTTTGTCTCGAGTTGCATTTCGACTTTGTCGGCGGGGGTTTTTCTCACGAGACCCGACTGTCTCCTGATCTCTCCGATCTCTACTGTACTGCCTGCCCGGGGGGAGCGCGGGGGGGAGCCCGGCACGGCGCGGGGGCAAGGAAGGCCGGTGAGCGCACGGATTCAGGATCGCGGTGACACAGGAAGGTTAAGGCACTTTTTAAACTATAGCAAAAGGCTCATTCTGTTATTTATTCTTCTCTTTTCCCTGACAATCGAAACACCGCATAGGCTCCTCCGTTTATCAGTATTAATGGTGTAACTTTGTTGGCAATATTTGCCGCATAGAATTTTTTTTTTTTTAGAGATCCACTGTAAATTTGAAACAAAGTCCGACCTGTGTAAAAACAAATTTCCATATGTTTATATAAATATATATATAAAATGAAGGACTACCCCTCTTTTTTTTTTTTTTTTTTTTTAGTATTATGGCTGCTGGGGTGCAGCATTTGTGACCGTATTTTAAATTTCCTTCTGCACTGTAGAAAATGACAATTTGAGGATGTTTTGCCTTTTGTGTATTTTTTTTTCCTAAAAAAAGAACAAAAATAAAAATGTGTAACATTTGTACATGGCCTTTAACATTGTATCAACCAGAAATAAAATCGCATGAGTATTTTATCGGGATTGGGATTGTAGAATATCTTCCAAACCCCAAAATCTACACAGAAACCAGCCTGGAACCTCTAGACTTGTTTTGTATTTAAAATATGGGGGATTCTGAATACTTCCCCCCCCCCCTTTTCTCTCTCTGTCTCTTTTCTATTCCTCCTCTTTCCATCCTTCACTTCACATTGAAACGAAATCTGGACACGAGGAACTATTTCCTTGGCTTCTGTTTTTAAGAAGAGCCTCTGCCGCTCTAAATGCCATTTCTCGTTTTAAAGAAATAATCAAATGTTGAAAGAAAACCTGAACTCTTTTTTCTTCCCCCAGGGAAAACCATATATATAAAAGTAGAACTACGATATGTTGGCTTTTGTTTTTTTCACCACCTTTTGCCACCAATGGGAGTTTTACTTCGAGTGTCAGACTTTAATGTTCCCATCGTCAGGCTGTTACAAATTGTGAGGCAACTTTAAGGCTTTCCGTAGGGCTTTTGTTGTTGTTTTTGTCTTGTTTGGTGTTCTACACTTGGTTTTCCCCAACTGAGAAGTGAGTAAAATTTAAGCCAGAAGAGGGCCATTGCTGGGAGAGCAAGGTGACAAACATTTCCACTCGCGAACATTCCCCCTCGAGTCACTGGGGGGTGGGGAACACTGCTTAAAAACCTGTGTCTCCAGCCGACCACCCTCTTTCCACTGCCGTCCGCGCCCACCTAAGAAAACAAACACAATAAAGTCCCATTGTCGGGGCGGCCATGCCAGGACCCACCGCAGTTTCTGCGCGTCGTGGGGTCGCGAGCCTCTGAACCTGGTTCTTCTCAAATTTGACATTTTGGACGTGAGGGTAATTTCTCCAGTGCTCGGTTACATCAAAATTATCAAACTCGCCCAGGCAATTAATGTCCCAAACGAACCGCTGTCCGTAAAATGAGATAAAGGGTACATGAAAAGGCCGGCGACTTCACCCTGGGGCTCCGGTGGGCCGAAGCGTCGGGGGCCGGGGGGTCTCCCCGGCGGCACAGCCCTCTGTCTCCAGCACGCGCCTGGCCCTGCGCTGCGGGAGTGGGTGCCCGGCGAGCAGAGAAGGCACGGTCCTCCCGGGCTGGAGGCCACTGGGGCAGCCACCGGTGCCCGAGAAAACGAGGCCGGGCCGGAGAAAATCCCCCGGGCCTCCAGCGCAGGAATGTTGGGCTGCGTTCACATCCAGGCAACTTCCGCAGGCGAGAGCGGGTCTCGTCCTCCCTCCTGCGCTGCTCCGCGGAGACTGCGCCCCAGTTAGGACCAAGGCTCCGGGAAGCGGGGCTGATGAGGAGAAACCCAATGCCAGCCCAGCCAGGGAGCTCCCGAGTCTCCGGCCGGCCGTGGCTCCAGCCTCCGCGCCCACTCATTTGGTCCCTTGGTGCGCCAGAGACCTCGTGCGCGCCGGCTGTGCTTGGCTTTGGCGCCTCTGGGCCAGAGGCCGGGGCGGAGGTGAGCCCCGCTTCCTGCTCACCTCCCCGAGGACACCTGTGTCTCTACAGGCCCTCCCAGCGCTCCCACGCCCCGGGCTGGCTGCGGGGGTGGCACGTAGAGAGGACTGTGCAGGAAAACCGGCCAGGGAGCCCCAGGATGGGGCCTGGCCTCTGTCTCCCAGTCTGACCAGGGGCCTGGGGGTGAGAGAAAAGCCTTCCCAGCGAGGAGAGCCTGGCCCAGAAAGGGCCTGAACACTGCAGCAAAACTGTCTCCAGACCCATGTTCGAGACTGCACACCGCCCTGCTGCTACAGGTGACTCACAGAACGGGCTTGCTTGGCATGTGCCCCCCCGCCCCCGCAGGGCCCATTTCAGCCCCGATGTGCACAGGGGCCACGGAGCTCCCACGTGCACCCCCACAAAAGCGTGCTTACGCAGGTTACAATCTTAAACTGCAAAAGCGTTTCCGAGCCTGGTGTCAAACCACCCCCGCTGTGCATGTAAACAGCCTCCTGGGTAGAATTAATCCAGACGCCCCTGAGCATAGCTCAGGGGGGTGGTCCTGGACCCTAAGTGCATGAATTCCCCCCCAATATCAAAACACCTGGATGTGGGGAGGGGCCAGGGATTACGCCATAATGTTTCTGTCTATGGGTCACACATCGCAGGGACTCCAGGGTTCTGCTGGGGGTGGGAGGGGGGTGGCGTCCTGGGCGCGCCCAACAGCCTCCTGGCGGCCCGGTCCCAGGCAGCAGGAAACTGCAGGCCCAGCCGGGCAGGCGTCACCCCATCCCTGGAGCTCGCCTCTGATCCACATCTGCGCCCCCCCCCCCCCCCGCCCCGGCCTGAAGGCGCTCAGGTATGTGCTTCTGACGGGGGAAGGTGCCTGGCCCACCAAAGCCCATCTGTCCTAGTTTTCTCTTCCCTTTGGGGCTGGACAGCTGGGGACAAGGAGGGGGTGGTCCACAAGGGCCTGGCTCCCCAGGCTTCCAGGCTCCCAGCAGCCATCAGGCATCCCAGAGGGAGCGGACAGAGAGAGCCAGAGTCCCTGTTCTGCCACCATCTAACCCGGGCAAGGTGCATCGCCTCTGAGCCTCAGTTTCCTTATCTGTCCTCATGACCCACGAAGGGCAGTGGTTGATGAGATGATGGTCTTCGGGAGCAAACGGAACGACCTCACTCTGCGATGCCCAGACGGGAGTGACCACGAGACCCACGCGTGGCTCGCCCTGCTTCCTAGAGATCCAGGGGGGCAGGTGGGGGTGGGTGCCACTCAAGATGCAAGGGCCCTCTGCTCAGGGGTTCCCATCGAGCACTCCGTTCGGGAACCGCTGAGCTCCCCATCTTCTAGCATGCGCCCCAGGACGGACTGTCCGCCCTTCCCACGGAGGACCTCCTAACCTCCAGGCCAGAAGACCCCTGAGCCCTGCGACCACATTTCTGATGGTGACTCTGAGTGTGGAACCGCCCTCATCAGAAACACTTGGGGTGTCTGCTGAAACCACAGATCGGTGGGTCGGCGGGGGGCGGGCCGACACCCACTCGATTTGACTCTCTGGAGGCAGGACCCAGGATTTTCACAGATTTCCAGGGGGTCCTGGCGAGTGCCGAGTCTGAGAGTCTCCTCTAGTGTCTCTGGGCTCCTGAGAAAAGCCTCTGTGAGGTCGGCTCAGAGTGGCCTCTGCTGCCCCCTCCTGCCCCGCGAAGGCAGCGGCTCTGAGCGCCAGCAGCGGTGAGGGCCCAGGGCCCACGGAGGGAAGGGGAGCCCGGGCAAGCAACCCCCTTCCCACATGCGCCTGGTCCTTCTTGGGGTTCCCTTAGGGAGGTCCTAGGACGACTCCTGCCTTGCACAGCAGAAACCGGTCAGGGGGCTTGCTCCAGACCCTGCTGACAACAGCTGGAATCTGGACTCAGACGCAAAGCCCATGTCCCTAAAGCACCGTGCTCCATGGCTCCCGGGCACCCACTTTCCTCCAGCCACCAGCCTGGTGAAAAGGGGCGAGTTGAAGGGCGGTCCATAAGCAGCCTCTGCTGGGGTCTCGGGACACCCCGTGCCTGGCGCCGGGGGCGTGGGTCATGCGGATGGGGTGGGGGGAGACTGGCCCAGCAGCACCAGCTCACATCTCTGACATCCAGCTCCCTTCTGGTGTAACAGACTTGGATCTCATGGGTTTCCACCCCACACCCCCCACGGCAGCCCCCTTCACTTCCCTGGCCCCCTGAGCTTCTCCGCTCTGCTTCTGGAATCTTCCGGGCTGTTTCAAGGAGGGAGGTCTTTGCTGGCCGTCTCCGGCAGAGAAGCCTTGCCCACTCATGAAGGGACACGGCTGGATATCAGGACTGAGGCAAACCACAGGCCTTTCCCAACGTTGACGCGTGTGCTCCAGGGATGGGGACGTCTACAGGTGTGACAGGAAGACCACCACAGACACTGGGCACCTGCGTGTGTCTGCCCTCGCCTGGGGCTAGATTCAGTGTCACCTACACCCCGGTCATCACGGGTCTGCAGCACCAGGA